CTAACCTCTCTGGGTCTACAGTTTATAGCTTGGTTATCATTTTCTTAGTGGCTAAAACCCACTTATAAGGGGTTTTATAAGTGGATATTGCATACCATATTTATCTTGTTGAGTCTGGGTTACCTCGCTCAGGGTATTTTCCTAGTTTTATTGATATGTCTGCAAATTTCATGATTTCATTGTTTATTTGTCCTTTTGATGGAGTCCTTTGCCTTACAGAAACTTTTCAGTTTCATGAGGTCCGTTTATTAATTGTTGATCTTAGTAGCTGTGCTATTGGTGTTCTGTACAGGAAGTGTCTCCTGTGCCAATGCATTCAGGGCTATTGCATCCTTTATTTTCCATCAGGTTTAGTGTATTTGACTTTATGTTGAGGCTTTTGACCCAGTTGGACTTAAGTTTTGTGCAGGGTGGTAAGTATGGATCTATATGGATTCATGTACATGCAGATATCCAGTTTGACCAGTGCTGTTTGTTGAGGATGTTTTCTTTTTTCCAGTGTGTATTTCTGGCCTTTTAAAAAAAATTTAAAAATCAGGTTTCTATAGGAGTGTGGATTTATGTCTGGGTCTTCAGTCGGATTCCACTGATCAACATGCCTTTTTTTATGTCAATACCATGTGGTTTTTATTACTATAGCTCTATAGACAACTTGAAATCAGGAACAGTGAGAACTCCAATGTTATTGTTCAGGATTATTTTAGCAATCCTGGGTTGTTTTCCTTATGAAGTTGAGAATTATCCTTTCATAGTCTTTAAAGAACTATGTTGGAATTTTGATGGGGATTGCACTGAATCTGTAGATTGCTTTTGGTAGAATGGCCATTTTTACTATGTTAATCATACGGATTCATAAGCAGGGGAGATCTTTCCATCTTCTGATATCTTCTTCAATTTCTTTCTTCAAAGACTTGAAGTCCTTGTCATACAGGTCTTTCACTTGCTTGATTAGAGTTACCCCAAGGTATTTCATGTTATTCGGGCTGTTGTGAAATGTGTTGTTTCCCTGATTTCTTTCCCAGTCCATTTGTTATTTGTATATAGGAGGGCTATGGGTATATTAGCAGGATATGTCTGCTGAAGTTGGGGGCTGAGACAAAGCAAGGAGTTGGGGGATGGGAGTTAGAATCCACAGGGGATGGGAGCAGGGGGCCAGGAAGGCTGCCATGTGTATTCTGTAGAGCTGGGGATGGGACTGGGGGATTGGATCTGGGAAAACCAAGAGAGAAGAGAAGGTCTGTGGGAAGCCTATCTAGTTTTTTGGCAACTGTAACCTGTGGTTTAGCAGTGGGTACTTGCTAGAGTTCAGGGCTGGGGTACAGCAACGGAGTGGGGTGAAGGTGGTTTGGAGGGGATGGTTTGTGGGATCCATAGGAGATGTTGGCAGGGGGAAAGGGAGACTGCAACTGGTGTCCTGTTGCAGAGGTAGGGTAGAGATTGGGGGGTCAGATTTGGAGGGGAGGAGGGAGTGGTGAGTGTCTTCAGATAGCTTACCTGTTTGCATGTTCTGCTTGACTGGTGTGTTCGAGTCCATGAATGCCTGCTGGTGTTGGAGGTTTGAGTAATGAAGTGAGTTGGAGGAAAGAGGACTGGGGGAGAAGATCTTTGTGTTCTGTTGGAAATGAGGTCAGGGAGGAAAGGCAGACAGCAATAGGCGTCTTGCTACAGATCTGGGGATGAGACTGGGAGGGATGGAAACCTATACGTTCTTAATATCTATATATAGGTACACAGCTAATGCTTTGGCAGTATTATTTTGTTAGCAACACATGTAACTGTTACATAATGCTTTTCAGAAATAGACTCAGAGATGGGTACCTGCATATAGAGAGTTCACTGGAGGAGTACTCAGGAATTTAACATTGGAGGTATAATATTGGTGAGGTATTGAATTGCAATGGAGTCACAACAAAGGTCTTGCAACCAATCTCACAGGGAACCCTGGGCTGCATACTTGCATGGCCTGCACAATAGGTGTGCACTGCTTATGAAGCTGAATGAGGTTATTTTCCTCAGATGAAGACGCTTTTTGGAGACAGCCATCTGAGAGCCATCAGCTGCCAATCGTCCTAGCAGCTGAGGGGATGCTTACTTCAGCCTCACATGTTAGTACACTGTAGCATCAGTAAATGCCAACATTTTTGATTTGAACTACTTAATTTATGATAAGTTCTGAGATCAGCTCATCAATATCTTGGATGGATGTTTTCTAAGAAAACTTACAAGAAGATGGCTACTGGGACCTACTACATCTCCTGTTAGCCCTACTGGTTGGAAGCTTGCAGCTGAGTTTCTGCTTTACAACTCACTTTAATTTCTTTAACCCTCATCTCTGCTGCTTGTGGCTTATTGGTCGCTCTCTGGTTACCATGTCCTTTCAAGGGTGCTGTGGCTGCTCTTGCTTCAGCTCAACAAAGAGATAAGAAGATATAAGAAATAATAAGAATATAAGAAGAAATAAGAGATACCCCAGTCAATCACCAGGCTCTCTAAACTCACGGAGCCCAGAGTTGCTGGGACAATAAACACAAATAGTCCAGACAGACAACTGTGAGGGAGAGTAAGCAGGGCTTGGAGATTTAGGGTCCATGCTGCATTCTGAAAAGTGCCACTCTACCTTTCCAGAGCATCACCTACAAAGCAGCACTTTTTGTGGATCTTTAAAAGGCCATTAGAGTCACACCATCAGCTTACAACTTTGGCAACAGAGATGGGATGGACTAGGTAGGTAGCTCAGCATCATATACACTGATGGTCTACTCTGCTGGAGTTTTCTGGGTCCAGTAAAACTATTTAGGCAAAACTCTGTGGTGATGGGTCACGTACTCCATATTGACTTAGATATGGTGTGGGCTGGGGCTTTGAAGGCAGGAAAGGTAATCCATACTCAGAGTATTGTTAGTTCTAGTCAATAAATCATTGTCCTTCCAGTGTAACCAGTTTGCTATCAAGTGGATGATTGGTTTCATGGAAGAATTTTGAAAATGGCGTCTTAATGGAAGATCAGTGTTGGTAGGCTGGACAAAGTGATGTGTTGTTTTTAAAACAAAATCCCAGACATTCAATTTGACTAAATAAAGACTCAGGAGTCAGATGCTGTGGTGAAAGCCTGCTAGCTCAGAGAGATAGTGGAAGCACCCAACTGACCTTCCTCCTTGACAAATGTCCCAGAAGAAAAGAATCAGTTCTTTTCCACACTATCTTACAAACTCTTCAAACTGAATGTCTCTCCTTTCTTCTTCCTGGGCATCTCTCTATCTATCCTCCTAATTTCTTTTCACACTACGTTTTTTTCCTATGTTCATGCCCTGTCAACTGGTTGCTTGCTCCACCTCTTGACCTACTATTGGATTTATTCAATCTTTTTTTTTACAATAAATAGAAAGCTCCTGGATTAAATGTATATGCTACAGCTGAGCCACACCCCAGGCAGAAACAGGTCTTTCCAGTACACAATCTTGGGGGTCACAATGTGATCAAATACTCTGCAAAACTGATGTGAGTTAAGTGTCATGGAAATACTGGCAATCTCAGTTTGTGGGAGTCTGAGGCAGAAAGATCACTATGAGATTGAGGCCAGCCTTAGCTCCAGAGTGAGTTTGAGGCAAGCTTGGATACCATACTGGACCCTATCTTAGCAACACCTAAGACAAAAGAAAATAACAACAAAATGCAAAACCACCACCACCACCACCATCAAAACAACAAATGAAACTGTGATCAAGTCACTGCATGACCCCCAGGAGAAGAAGCTTCCAGAGGAATATCTTTCAGGGCTGTCCTTCATGAGGCAGGAGTGTCTGCCTTATACCCTTTCTTCCATCATGGACTAGTCACTGGAAGTTGAGGAGAGGGTTGTAACCTTGGGCAGGGCAGCTTTCTTCAGTGGAGGGCAAATCTTGGAAGGACATGGGGCTGAGAATGGCTGCCAACTCCCTTAGCAGATAAGAGAATGATTGTTTCACTGAGTAGGGGCATGTAGGTAGTATAGACAGAGTTCCTTCAATCACTAAACAGTAGGGATTCTGTTCCAGATTTCAGCAATTCTTGGGAATTCTAGAATGAAGATGGTTTGGGGGAAGAGTAAATTATATATGCTAATCACAGTTGGTAATATAGAAAAATTCATTAAAATGTGTAGACTAGTTTCATGTATATTTAACAGCAAAAAAATATTTCTAAATAGATCAAAGAAGTGAACAGATTCTGTCTGCTTAATTAGTGAGGATGATAATGTTCCCAGCTTTTAGAATACATGCATTTTGCTTTGTGTATCTTTTGACTCTGTCCTTAGAGATCAATGACCTTTCAAACTTCCATCGCCCCTTCCGGCCATTAGTCAACTTTGTCCATTTATTATCAGTGGTTCTTTAGTCCACTGTTATTCATTTATAATTTGCCTTTTAATTAAATAGTTTATTTTGTTTTATAGCACAAAACAAACTGTTCTTCAATTCATGATTTCTTTAAATGCTTATACATACTAAGTTTACATGATGTACGTCAGGAGGATGCTGGGAATTGGTCCCCTGAGTTCATGTTTATTAGGCAAATGCTCTATCACTAAGCTGTAGCTCTCTAAAATTGGTAGCATATTAACTGTTAAGAATAGTAGATTATTGTATTATCTTTCATATTTCGTGATAAACACTTAAAATTTTAATCCTCAAATGAAAATAGATTTTAATTTAATGCCTCTTAATTTTTTGAAACATACTTTATAAGGTATCATATAACATACCTTTTATGTCTTCCTGCACAATTAGAGGCATTTGACTCAAAATCATACACATGACAACAGCCACAATCATATGAATATTCAAAGAAAGATGCAGAATGAAAAATTTGACAGTGGTTAATGTTGGGTGGTTGGAGTACAGATGAACTGACTATTTTTTCGTTTACCTATTCTAACACATATTATGGCCTCAATTAGCATCTGCCCCTTCTTTACTTCTAAAAAGAGAAACTCTTTAAATAAAATGAGGAAACTAAAAATATTAACTGTTAAACAACAAGGCATTTATAAGGAAATAATAGTAAGAAGGGGGAGTTGGGGAATATGTCATGTTAAAGTAATTTCAGATGATGGCATTTGCTCCCACGTGCCTTGACGTGATTCATCAGGACGCTCTCCAGACCTGTGTGTGAGCAGATCTTTCCACAGCCACTCCCTGGGATCTGTCAAATGTCCTCTGCTGTCCCCATCTGTCTCCGTTCTGCTCCTGGGACAGATACCAATTACCTGAGTAAGCTTCAGCCAAGACTCTTCCTCAACATTTCCCTTTACAGAATAATCAAAACAGTTCCTTAAACTGAACTATTTTTTACTTTTCATTTTCAGTCTGTTTTACAATTCTCAGTGCATGTGTACACTGTGCACTGAGATTATATTCCTTCTATTAACTACTCTCTGTCTTATTCTCCAACTTATTCTTACCCCCTTCTTCCCAGATAGTCCCCCTCCTACCTTTATGTCCTTTCCTTCCTTCCCTCCCTCCCTCCCTCCTTCCCTCCCCCTTTCTCTCCTTTCTTTTACCTCACTCCCTTGCTCCATGCCTTCTGAAGCTGTTCCGTCTTCCCAGTCATGCACCGTGTTTGCTGTCAGTCTAGTCAGAGTTCCTTCAGTGTGTCATGGTTTTGGAGTTTTCTTAATGATTCTTGCTAAGTTGGCTCCAAAATGTCTAATGGTGATTTGAAGTTCTCATTGTAAATGGAACTGCCTTTTATACTTTCACTTCTGGCTACTGATTGATAACATAGCAACCGTTTTAAAACCTGTGTCTCCTGCTGGCCACTGGAAAGAGCAGTAGCCCAGCATGAGCAGTGGTGCTTGGCAGAACTGGATCTTCACTGCCTGCTTCCTTCCACACGTTTGTGTCTGGCAATGCTTGTCCCCATGAGCCAGGTGGGTGGTGTGCCTTTACCATTTCTTTCTGTCAATGAGCCACATTAACTGACCCACACAGGAACTAAATGCCTGTCCCTGACACCAAAGACACAGCACCACAGGCCTTTGCCTTCACCAGCTCACCTTTGAAACAGCCACAGCTGCCCAGCTACTTCAGGAGCCGTTGGTTTCTGTGATACTGAAGACTGACATGACTGATTACTTGAGGGTTGGTTGTAGATTTTCGATCAGCAGACAGGGGTTTACACAACATCCTAAGTATGATGTGCTTTGATATTACATAAACAGTTTGTAGTCACTACAGAAAAATGAGAAGACAGATAATATACAAACGCCATGGCTAGTATATTTGCTTCCAAGGGTTTTCTGTAGGATATACACAATCACACGAACAAATTTGCATATTTAAGATATATTCTTGGACTGGGAGGGCTTTTCCATAGTTGAGGAACTGGTTAGCATGCTTCAAACCTGAGTGTGATCTTCACCACTGTATAGCTGTCTGTCTATCAATCTATCACCTCGTTTGAAAAGTGTACTTTTGCACATTTTAACATTTCTAAGATTGAGAAGAAGTTTTAAAAATAAATGATTTACTTAAAAATGTTAAATTATTGTATGTGAATGGGTGCTTTCTCTTCATGTATGTTTGAGCACCATATTCTCCTACAGAGACCAGGAAGAGGGGCTCAGATCCCATGGAACTGGATTTACAAATGGCTGTGAGCTGCCATGTGGGTGCTGGGACTCAAACATGGGACCTCTGGAAGAGCAGCCAGTTCTCTTAATCACTGAGATACTTCTGTGGTTCCCAGTGGTTAATTTTATTAAACTCTCTCTTTTCCTTTAAATTTACTCTCAAGTAAATAGTAAAACAATTGAAATGTGAAGTTACTGAACATAAAGCAAAAGAGTGACAAGCGCCATGGAAATTATGTTTTAAAAATTATGCCTTAAAGCACAAAGTACACATAGGTGGGTTTCATCGTGGTGTTTGACATCCATATGGCGTTATGCATTTTATCCATCCCCCTTTTCCATCTTCCTGATGCATTCAGGCTAGTCCAGTTCCTCTTCCCAAACTATAACCTTCTCCCCACTTTATGTCACATTGTATTTTTAAAGGGAGAGAAAATTTAAAAAAATGATATGTCACTTTATGGAATGCCTTCCAAAAACAGTTGTCTCATGCCTGTGATGCTGAGCAATAGTGATCCCTATCTGGAGGCAAAAAGCTGGAGGGATCCCGCAGAGCAGTGGCTCTCAGTCCATGGAGGGATCCCGCAGAGCGGTGGCTCTCAGTCCATGGAGGGTTCCCACAGAGCGGTGGTTCTCAGTCCATGGAGGGATCCCGAAGAGTGGTGGTTCTCAGTCCATGGTAGAATCCTGGAATCACTGTTTCTAACATCAGTGGAGGAATCAGCAGCTACAAAGGGAAGGGCAACCAATAAAAGGCTAATAATAACCACTCTTCTCCTGGGTTCCTTGTTATCTGGGCTGCTACCAAACATTTTGAGGTAGGTCTTCTCATATCAGTTAAAGCAATGAAGACAATTTTCAAGTGAGGCTTTCAGCTCAGGTGATTCTAAATTGTTGCAAGCTGACATTTAAACCAATTACTGCATCCATGTATTCATGTATTCATTGGTGTCTGTTTTCACCCCTGCCCTTCCATTAAGATCCCTTCCTCCCCCTCTGTCCCCATACTCAGTGTCATACAGTAACCTACACACACACACACACACACTCTCCACTCACATGCACCTACACCCACATACTATACAAACATACTATAAACACACCCATACTAATCCCCACCCTCCCCCCAAAGAGAGAAAGAGGGGGGGAGGGAGGGAGAAACGGAGGGAGAGAGAGAGAGAGAGAGAGAGAGAGAGAGAGAGAGAGAGAGAGAATAAAATTTTAAAAGAGTTTGAGTAACTAGCCTGTAGAAGTCCTTAAACATATATGGCCACACAACACAATGCATCCTCTGATACCTCTAATTTTACTCCTTGCTTTGGGGGCAGTGGTAGACCCTTATCTAGGGGCAGTGGATCAATAGTCTAGAAAATGTCCTGGCAAGAAAGTTTTACCCAAATATGTGACAATTAACAGTGCTAAAAAGATTTTTCTTTTGAGCATCTAAACAGCAGAAGCAGAAAAAAACATGTGAGTGAAGAAGCAGTCAGCAGTCAGACTTGATGAGTAAGCAGAAACCATGAATAAACATGGTCTGAGCAAACAAAGCCATGAGGCAGCAGAAAGATACACAGAGCAATGACAGAAGTGACAGAGGATAACCAGACCAGATTGGACTCCCAGGAGAGAGCCACGGACCAAGACTGGCTTGAGGCCAACACTGGAGCTGGAGGTGCAGTCAGCTCATGTGTTACAAAAAACAGGAGTGGTGATAGGCAAGGCAACATGACAGGTGTGTGGTGCACAGGCCTTGCAGAGTCTGGCTAGAATCAGTGCCACGGAAGCCAAAACCACACAGAGCCGATGTTATGAAGGTGCAGGAAAGCCAGAGAAAGCAGAGGAAGCCTGTCTGCTGAGAGAAGCAGAAAAGGACAGCTGGCACTCAGCACACAGAAGGGAAGCAGAGGCTGGAGCAGAGTGAGAGGTGGAACTGCTTCTGTTTTGTGTCAGTTCCATTCCAGGTGGCTTGATTGTGACCCTGGCACTTCAGTGTCCCCTAAAGGTTGCTTCCTGTATGTGTTTAAATGCCCCCCCCCAAGGTTGCTTGTTGTATGTATTTAAATGTCTCCCCTTTTCCCTTGAGATAGGCGCCCTTTCTGGCCTGGAATTTGCTATGTGAACCAGGCTGGCCTTGAATTCACAGAGATCCAACTACCACTGTGTTCCAAGTGTGTATAAAGATATGCACCACCACACTCAGCAGTAGCCTCCTTTTCTACCTGACCCAGTAGCAGTAGATTTTAGTTTGTACTCCAGGGGAAAAGGCGTATTGGCAGGGAATTTCTTGGTGCCTACTTCCCTGTCAGGTAGAAGTATGGCAGGTGAAGTGCAGAAAGTGAAGATGCACTTCCTGTCTACAGAACTACCAGGCATCACAGAAACACGCTGCATGCTTCTCCATTTGATCTGTACTGTGTGGGAACACCGTGACCTAGGCTCACCAGGGCACTGTAACCCATCCTCAGCATTTGTACATTCTATAACTGCAAATCTGTGCACCTCATGGCTTGGGTCAGCTCAAAGGACAGATGTACCCAGAATTGTTCAATGTGTGTACTCCCAGCTGAGCTGGAAAAAAGCAATGACTTGCTTTGTTTCAGCTCTTGGATGTAAATGAGATTCTTTTTGCATCTACTTACTGTAGGGCCTCCCATTTTGTGGTTTTCCTTTTTAAAGTGACCCTAATTGTAATGCTAAAGTGCCGGGTGGTGGTGTTCCTAAGCATAAGAAGACTGTGTGTGCAGAGCACTAGTAATGGAAAAAAAAATAAAAAAAGGACTGGAACATGTCCAGGCTCAGTCTGTAGAAGGATGTGATGCCCAGTTCTAAACCCATGCCTACCAAAGTCTGGTGTTTTGTGCTGTATTCTTCCATGTTCCCTTTCAGTAGAGTTCAGTCTCTGCCCTTCCTTCTTCCAGGCTATGCTGTCATTCCTAGAACTCATGGCCTCACTGAGAAATGACCAGTCATAAAACAATAGGGAAAATGAAAAATTTCTGCATAAAAGCTGAGACAGTAACATGTAGCACCCTTGTCTTGCCCTTCTCTTACACTGTGTCTAACATTGTCAATTTAGCTTAGCTGCCTTTCCGGTAGAGCATCTCTCTCTCTCTCTCTCTCTCTCTCTCTCTATTTTATTTTATTTTATTTTATTTTATTTTATTTTATTTTATTTTATTATTTTATTTAACAATCTCTTCAGTACAAGACCCAGGGCAACCATGCAACATTGACCAGAATTGGCCATCCAAGGTGAAATGTTCACTCTTCCTTGTGTGATGACCTATGTCTGTATAAGATAAGCATATACTTGAGGGTTGAAGTTGTAAACCAAAATTATAAATTTGTTTCAAAGCCTAGACCTCATAGTAGCTCCGAGCATCTCAGCTGACTCAGTTTGGAAGGGTCTCATGGAGGACCCTGCATAAGACTTGGCTCCTGAAACAGTACGGCGAGAACATCGTTCTTGTTGATCTCTGAATCACTAGCCCAGCATACAGTTGGTGTTCATGCTTGTTGAATGAATGCCTAGATCGATACCTTGGCAGCCATACTTTTCCTTGCTGTTGCCAAATAACCTGGGATAATATTGGTTCATGGTGTCAGAAGTTACCACTTACAGTCACCTAGTTCCTGCGATGAGACAGAACATCATACTGGAAGACTTTGGTGGAATAGAGCTGTTTACTTAACAGCAGCTGGAAAGCAGAGAGGACAGAAGAAGCTAGGGACAGCACATATCCTAAGCACATGACTCCAGTGACTTACTTGTCTAACTAGTACACACCTTCGAAAGTACCACTTCTCAGTAATGCCATCAAATTATACGTCCACCAATGGACTGATTCACTGATGAAGTCAGAGTCCACATGCTCCATTCACCTCTCAGTGATTGAATACACCAGCTGGAGACCAAGTCTTACGACACATGAGACTTTGGTGGTAGGTGGGGTCCTTCATAGCTAAACTACAACAGTGCCTTTCTTCCCCAGGGAAAAATCACTGATGTAGGCTGATGACAGAATGGGAACTTTGGGGTGCAGCAGCCAAGGGACCAAAAGGAAACTGAACTGGGCAGTTATTCTATCCTCTGTCTCGTCTTCTGTTCCTTTTATTCTCTCCTGTGGCTTACCTCTACCTCTTCTGGAAAGGTGGACCTGGGAATCCCTGGAATGCAGGAGTTGGGTGGAGGAATAAGAAAAGAGGAAGCAGAAGCCCTGATGCTTGGGCTGTGATACGATATTGGCTCGGACTCAACAACTGA